AGGAGCTGCATCAGAAATGGGCCTTTTTCCTTCATTCGAAAATGGCGATTTTATTAATTCAAAAAAAAAAAAACAACAATGGAAGTGAGGGTCGTGGCACAAGCGGTGTCGGGTGGGCCTGGGCGCGGGGGGAGGCCCCGGGTCCTTCCTGCTGTGGCAAGAAAGGGCGGGTTTGCATTAGGGAGAAATGTCACTTCTGCTCCTCGGCCCGGGGGGCTGGCGGGGAAGTCGTAGCGGAGGACACGGCGGCGCTTGCTGACAGATGGGGCAGCTGCAGGGGAGGAGCGGCAGCCGGGGGAAATGGCAGCCGACTAGTGTCTGGGCTTTGAAACAAGGAGGCGGGAGCTAGTTGTTGGGTACAGGCTCCAGCACGAGATCCTGGGTTAAACGTCGCGTTGGGGGCCAGGGAGTTGAGCGTCAGCCAGACAGGAGCTCAGTGTTTCCCCTTCCTCCTGCCGAGGAAGTTAAGTCTTTGCCGTGTACGTTATTTATGCGGTGTCTCTCTTTATGCGGTTGTGACACCGGTGGAGTTGCATTGAGCTCGTTTAAGGTTATTAATTAAACCCGTAGCGTTTTGCCGTTGGGTTGTTGATGCCAATGTTAACCTGTGTCTAGTTTACGGTGTAGCGGGAGTTATGATAAACTAATGCGCACCGTTGACGTTTTTTAATTCTTTCGTTTTGCCAGGCACCCGTGGGAAACCGTTACAACAGCTGCCATGCAGAAATATCCCAACCCCATGAACCCGAGTGTCGTGGGAGTTGATGTGCTAGACAGACACATAGATCCACATGGGAAACTGCACAGCCTTCGACTGCTCAGCACCGAATGGGGAATCCCCTCTATTGTGAAATCGGTACGTAGACGGTTGCAAAAATGGAAAGAATTGATGCAAACTCTTCTGCTTTGTTGTCTTTAACCGCATGCAAGTCTCCCCATGTTGTAAGAGGCAGCTAAATGGTGCGTTTGCTATCCAGCTTTTCCAGGGGCGGCTCAGAGCACTGTTCTGGGCCTTGGCACGCCCTGCCCGTTACGGAATTGCTTGCATCCTGGGAATGTGCTCGTGTCTGGTCCTTGCGCGTTGTACCCAAGTTGGAGGAGGGCCCACTATGGCCTGTGTGTATTATCTTGCAGCAGCAACTTCTATATTTTGCTATCTAGATTGAAAAATAACTAAAGAAAGCTGATTAATAACACTTCATTTTTACGTGGAGAAATTGCTCTATTTAAGATACTGTCATATTAGAAATTTCCATTGAATCCTCAGAACAGGGACATTTTTGTACAGCGGTTTTACTGGAGAATAAAATTTGGTCTTGCAAAAGGTATAAATTATTTGCGGGGGGGGGTTAGCTACTCATAATAGTTGCTGTATAAGTTGGGTAAAACAGGGAAAACATGTTTCCTTGTTGTTTGTTATAAAGTCCCAATCTAGACTGAGAATCTTGTGCCAAGGAACTACGGGCATTTGTATAAATGGCAAAATGTGCGTCAGCGTTGAGAAAATGGCGGTGGCGCACTCTCAAACTACAACACATCAAAGGTGTTTTAGTTCGAAAGTGCGCCACCGCCATTTTCTGCATGCTGACACACATTTCGCCACTTATACAACTGCACACGACGCAGCACAGTGTGTGTCAGCTCACGTGCCAAGCAGACTCAATTAATCAAGTCTGCTCCAATGCGACAGAGATCCAGTGCATCGCAGCACAAAACTGTATGTGTATAAATGCCCTACATGTCTATATTGTAATAGGCAATTCCTGCCTTGAGAAGCCTTCAGTCTAAATGGACAAGACAGCAAACGATAGGAATAGGGTAGTGGGTAGTAATAGTATTTCCTTTTATTAGCTTATGTTTTGGGGGGGAGAGCGTATTTGGATTTACAAAACAATGGCCCATATCATTTACTTCTTATCTGGCTTAAAGATTATTACTTTTCTAAACTACAGAGGTGTAGGTTGCAGCTGTGTTGATCTAAGGACATAGGCAGACAAGGTTCTTTGGGTGAATCTGACATCTTTTATTAGACCAACTTAAATAGCTAGAGCAAGCTTTCGCATTTAAAAACCCTTTGTCAGGCTGAGGAAGAGTTTTTAAACTCAAAAGCTTACACTAGATTCACCCGAAGAACCTTGTCTGCCTACTTTTCTAATTCTTTTGAGATTGCTAGCTCAACTAGTTTTAAATTATAAGCAATGTTAATAGCATATATCATAATTTAGATTTTTACATACTTTAAATAAGTTTTTGCTTATTGTTCTGGGGCAAAAAATATCTAAGCAAAGAAAATACATCTGTAAAATCACAAAGATTGCTAGGGGTACTCAGGGACTGGAATAATATATGAAGTGACTCGTGGTGTTTGTTTTGGTTTTTTAAAATGCTTTAAATTTCAAATTGTTGATTGTCACGGCGGGGTCCTCGCGGAGGGCCGTGTGCTCCTTAAGGTCCCTCGCTCCATGTCAGGCCGGCCCAAGGCACCCTCTAATTCTCGCCCGCCACGTCTTGCTGGAATATATATGTGTACGTGGGAGTCTGC